ACAACTATCCATCTCGTAGAATTCAAGTAATCAACTTCCAGAAGTAGCAAATAACAAATTGTGATTGTTCAATAACTAAAAGCGAGTAATAAAAAATACACTAAATTATCACTAATAAAGCAAAGTATTGTAGACAAGATTGAAAAAGCCTAGAGTTATGATTTCTCCAATTGTCAAAATTCTTCCCGCTACATCTCTTTAATTTTGCGTAAGTATTCTCTATTGATCATGAACACTTCATTTATTTTAATTCTTTCGAGCAACTACAATAATTTACTAGACACACTCTCTCGAATTACGCTAATTGTACTTTTCTTACCACTCATTACGATCACGATAAGGTGTTATTATCTTTAAACCCACCTATAAGCTCGATGTAGACCGATCGGATCGTTACATTTACCAGGTTAAAAAGATTAACATTCCTCAAAAATAAAGTCTGAACAACCAATAAAGTTAGAAAAAAAAGTTAATATCTAAACTGGGTACCTGGCAAAATTCGAATTTGAATTAGCGGTGTTAGAGGTGATCTGAAGAGGGGGTTACTACAGGAAATGGGAAAATAAAGAGAATGATTGAATGGAGAAGAAAGGAAAAAATAAGAGCGGGAGAGAAGTGGGATTTGAAACATAATGATAGTAAGGGGTGGGAAGTGGAAAGTAGTGGTATTATTGTTGTTGTGGGAAAGGTTTTAATTAAGTGAAGCGAGTGTCTGTGTTGGTGACAGAGGAAATCTTCCTCTTCGTATGTATCTTACTCTTTCTTTCTAGTAGAAGTCTTTGGCAACTTCATTTTCCCAACAACAACGTAATTCCACCCGCTTACTTCAAATAATTTCCGTTACAATGGGGTGTGATGAATTCACAATATTTTTTGCTTTTCTCTATTTTTAATATTTGAACATGGGTGGAGTCTTTTAATCAGAGTTACATTCATTCCACCATGCTTATGTATTGTAATTACTTACAAAGTTACGAGTAGTTTATTATATTATAAATGAATATATAAATAAATAGATAAATAAATTACTCTTCTTCAAGTAGGTTCTAGCATTGTAAATCAAAAGAGAAAACAACAAACGTAATCGTTACTAAATTGTAGACTTTTTGTACCTTAGATTTTCTTAATTAGAACAGAAACTTTCAGTTTAATTTTCAAGGGAAAATGGCGAAGATGACTTTAGAAAATTAGTAATGTGATTCCACTTGAAGGATAGGGTGTACGCAGACCTTACCCCTACTTTATGTGAGGTTGAGATGATATTTTCAATAGACCCTCGACTCAAGAAAAGAATTTTCTAAATAGGTTTGTAAAATACAAGACTAAAAAAAACTATGATGAAAATATTGAAGAATAGAAAAGAAAAGTATTGCCAACAAAAATAGTAAAGAGAACCAAAGTAAAAGAAACAACAGTAATAATAAAATTGGAGAATAAGAAATAATAATAGAGGGAGCAGATAAGGTGCTCTAAACTAGAACCATATTCTCCTATAGAAAAGAGAGAAATCACTCGACTAACTACTAACCTTCTAGCTTAATCTTCAACCTACAAGCTCTCATATTTAGGGTCATGTCCTTGGTGAGCTGACACTGTGCAAAGTCCTATATAATCACCTCTTCCCAGTTATTCTTTGGTCTATGTCTACCTGTCCTTAGACATAGCACTGCCAACTTCTCACACCTTCTCACTGAGGCATCTATGCCCCTCCTCTTCACATGCCCGAATCATCTTAGTCTCACTTCTAGCATCTTGTTCACCACGAGGGTCACTCCCACCTTGACTCGTATATCTTTATTCCTAATCTTATATTTCCTTGTATGCTCACACATTCATGTAAGTATCCTTATTTTTGTTACTTGCATCTTCTAAACATGTGAGTTCTTGACTAGCTAACGCATTGCCCCATATAACATAGTTGATCAAACAACTATTCTATAGAACTTACCTTTAAGTCTTGGTGGCACGTTCTTATCACATAGAATACTGGATGCGAGCCTCCATGTCACGACTCGTATTCCCAACCTCGGGCTCGTTATGACGCCTAACGTCTACTTGTTAGGCAAAAACCAATTTAACATCTTAACAGTTTAAAGCAGAGTAATAACAATTATTAACGATAAATAAAGTTGTAATACATGAAATAAACAACTTCTTCATGATGTCCACCACGACGCCGACCGGTGGTGGAAAACCACCGGACTGGTCTCAAAACACTTACCTTGTCACTGCGGCCAATTCTGGATCAAATTGGGAGACTCCAAACAATGGAGATTTTTCAGCTCATGCTCTTCATCTCCATAAAGATTCAGAACATTTCAATGCCCCAATCGCACACAAAGAAGACTTACAATTATCCAGCGAGAAACAACTAAACGGTGAAGTGGTAATCCAACTAGCTCAAGACCATAAGCAGACTGCTACAAACATTTCACATCCACACTCCTCTAAGGCAAACTACACAACAATACAAAATGAGGTTCCCGCTGATTTGAGCCTACTAGCTATTCGATAGAATGTCAAAGCCAACGCTACAATGCCTTTGGGGGGATAAAGACATCACGTATGTTGTCCAGGGGCATCAGGATATTAATCGTCAAGTCGCATTTTAAGGTTTAGCTCACAACTATGGTGAACAATTTCTACCAAAATATGCAGTTATCGACAATGCTGCTCAGGTACATCAATCCAACATACAAACCTAAATCACCAAGTCGTCACTTGCATCAACATACCCAAAGATCTCAACCAATTTTGATAAACCAAAGAACCCACAAACTGTTAAAACATCTGTAATTTCTAGCCAAAGTACCCAGTTCCAGATAAACAAATTACCAGCTCCACTAAACCAGCCTTCAACAACCATCGGCCCAACTACTACGACCACAAATAACAAATCTCAGCCCTTATATTATAGTACATTTTGAAACTAGCTCAACAAAATAGTCCTAAGCACTTGAACCATTATTCAATACCCACGGTTGATCCTATCCCAATGTGACGGGCTACTATTTTAAATGAAGAACCTGTTGTCAGATTTACAGAAGCTGAGGTTGATCGCATAAATATAATCGAAGGTTTACAATATGCAGTGGTCGGCAAATTGTCGTATGGTTGGCCAGACATCCAGGAGTTACATACAAGCATTCCAAGTCAATGTGGAATCAAAGGAGAATGTAGTGTTGGCCTCCTAAGAGATCGACATATCTTGATTAGATTGACATTATGGGAAGATTTCATTAATTTTATGTCTAAAATGCCTACTATGTTAAAGCTAAAAATGGGTGTGAGTACCAATTGCGACCTTTGATCTATGATGCAAAATTCAAAGTCGGGGAAGAAACTCCAATGGCTATGGCATGGATTTCGTTTCCAGGTTTACTGCCAACTTATTTTGTCAAAGACAATTTATTCTCTTTAGCTTCAGTAGTGGGGAAGCCCCTACATCTGGATATGGCCACTATCAACAAGACGAGATCCAGTTGTGCGAGGGTTAAGGTCCTTATTGATCTTTTAGCTGAGTTACCTCAGAAAGTTCGAATGAATATTTTAATGAGACAACTGGGGAGATAAGGACTGGGTGGGTTACAATTCAATACGATAAGCTTCCTAAGTATTTCAAGGAATGTAAATTACAAGGGCGTGATCAAATTGAATGTTAGCATATTCATCCAGAATTAATGGACCACAATGATAAAGGCAAATGAGTTGTGCAAACTGTTCATGGTGGGGAAGGTGCTGAGCAAAAATGATACAAAGCAGACGGGGGATCGGGGAAAGACTAGCAGGCAAATAGTAGAAGTTGATCGATCTGGAAGGGAAACAAATGCATCTAACAAAAACTAATCCAAGTTGCTAACAAATATGCAGCACTTGAGATGAAATAAAGTGACCTGGCTAAGAACAACCAACAACTTTTAAAAGAGAGTACTGGAGAAAGGTTAAAAGAGAATACTGCGGGGCAGCGACTTCAATAGTCAAAGGGAGTATTAGAGAATGTTTAAAAGAGACAACTGCACAATGGGTGAATAGAACTTTTAGTGGGAACTTACCTACCACTAATAAATTCTGGCCAGAAACTCAGTCGCGCACCACAGTTGCAAATAAAAAATATGAGATGCCTAAGGAGAATGATAAGAACAAATTGAGAGGATTTGTTGCATCAAAGGAGAACACTAACAGTGTCAACAGGGAGCAACAACAACCTTACTTGAAACAATGTCAATTTAACAAGCCCTCTCACTACATACCTGACAAAGATGAATCGAGGAACATGAATGCTGGAAATGAATCTGATTACAACAAAAGAGACATACACAGAGAGGATGCGCAATTCATGATGTTGGAGATAGAGAATGAGGGGCTCTGGTACAAAAGGAGCTTGAGAACGAGGTGCAGACAATCACAGTAAATCCAAATATGTGTTTCATATACGATCTTTAAGTGTTGCAGGGGAATGAGGGAGACACAGAGAGGCACTCTGAAATGCTAAAGGAGGTAACAAAGAGGGATAATGATGAAATTGAACAATCCATAATACCAAAGGAATCAAGTGTAATTGAGACAATGCCTTTGGCATGGGCCTCAAGTGATGGACACCCAATGCAAATACAGATCAGTATGACATCAAAATCGCCTGAGCAGGTGTTGCATGATATAATCACCCACAAGGTTATGCATGTGTAAAGTCACATTACAATGGTGGAACATCAGCAACAATAATATGAGGGAGATGATGAATCTACTACTGGGAATTTTAAAGCAGTAGCTAGAGAAGGGGGCTTATCACCTAGAGTATCATCTAGAAGTGGTAATAAGAGTAAGAAACAACAAAATAAAGAAGCTTTTTACCCTACAAGAATCTTGCCCAAAAGGGTACCCTCAATGACTAAATGATGATCAAAATGTTGATATGAAACATAAGGTCTGTTAAGACACAACATGCCTTTCAGAGATTCATCAACATGCAAAAGGAACATGATTTTTTCATCGTAGCACTTATGGAGCCATTTCAAAAGAAAAGACTAATTCAGAAATACAGGAAAAGACTAGGTATGGAAAATGCTATATCAAATGTCAATGGGAAAATATGGTTATTCTTAGATACATCGGTGGAATGGGATTTATTGGTTGATACTGAGCAGCAGCTGACCATCAAGGTGTATCATCAGGATATAGGTAACCACATCATGATGACTTTTGTATATGAAAAATGTTCATCATTGGAAAGATTAGAACTGTGGGATAACCTATATTATCTTGCAAGTGACATGGACTTGCCTTGGGTAGTCGGAGGAGATTTTAATGTGATTCTTAGTGAAGAGGAGAAGATAGGAGGACTGCCGGTACATCCTCCAAAATATGAAGACTTTTCTTTTTGTGTTAACTCATGCAGATTGTTTGATCTTAGATATGCAGGCAGTCCCTTCACTTGGTGGAATAGGAGGACAAATGCAAAGTGTATCTTCAAATGGTTGGACATGATATTTGTTAATCAACCTTTCCAAACTCTATTTCCTAGCATTGAGGTAGAATATTTGATAAGAACTGGCTCAGATCATGCATCTTTATTGATAAATTGTGGAAAGTATGCAACACAATTTTTGAAGCCTTTCAGATTCCTGAAATTTTGGGCAAAGCACGAGATATTCAAAGATGTAGTCAGACAGAACTGGTTTGCAGACTTCATGGGAGATCCATTCCTGATGTTCAAGCAAAAATTAAAAAGAGTGAAGATTGCACTATCTAAATTGAGTAAGCTCATATTTGAAGATATATTTAAGCAGCTGGCAATTAGAAAAGATATTGTTAGAATCAAGGAGATGCTATTTGAGGAGGAACCAACAATTGACAATAGAATTGTCCTCCAAAAAGCACAGGCAGAATTGAAGAAATACTTGAGCTTAGAGGAACACTACTGGAAACAAAAGGCAGGTATGACATGGTTCTCAGAAGGGCATAGAATTCTTTCATAACCATGTCAATGGCAAGAGGCAGAAACTACAACTTAAGAGGATCCAGAATGGATATGGAATATGGATTGAAACACATGACCAATTAGCCAAGGCAGCTATAGAATTCTTCCAAAAACAGTTTAGTCATAAAAGTGATCCATCAAACTTTGATCTTCTGAATAATGTTCCTGCTATGGTATCTCTGGATAAAAACATGGAGCTATGTAGGATGCCAACTATAGATGAGTTTAAGGGAGCAGTCTTTGCTTTGAGTGAAGATAGTGCAAGTGGACCTGTTGGTTTCACTGGAGTGTTTTATCAAGAGTGCTGGGATATAGTAGGTGAAGACATGGTTAACATGCTGCAGAGTTTTTACAATAGGGCCTCACTTCCAAAATCCGTTACTCACACCAATCTGGTACTAATACCAAAGAAGAAGTTGGTTCATACATTCTCAGACTAAAGACCAATAAGTCTAAGTAATTTCATAAACAAGGTGATCTCAAGGGTAATGCATGTTAGATTAGAGAAGATTCTACCTTCTTTGATCTCCTCTAATCAATCTGGATTTGTCAAAGGAAGGAGTATATTTGAGAATATCCTGCTTACACAAGAAATTGTAAAAGATATAAGATTGAGGGGCAAACCTGCCAATGTTGTTATCAAATTGGATATGGCCAAGGCTTATGATAGGGTGTCATGGAAATACTTACTTCATGTGTTGAGAAAGATGGGATTTGCTGAGCACTTCATTAACATGATATGGAATCTGATATCAAACAATTGGTATTCAGTGATTGTTAATGGCCAAGCCTCAGGTTTTTTCAAGTCAACAAGAGGTATCAAACAAGGCGATCCTTTATCTCCAGCTTTGTTCATACTATCAGCTGAGGTACTATCAAGATCATTGAATATATTATTTGAAGATAACAACTTCAAAGGATTTGGGATACCAAAGTGGACAGATCCATTGAACCATTTGGCTTATGCTGATGATACAATCATATTTACGTCTACTGATCCTTACTCTCTAAAGAAGGTGGTTGATGCCCTCGCACAGTATAAACAAACCTCTGGACAACTTATTAACAAGACAAAGAGTTCATACTACATGCATGCTAAAGTTAGCAGGATTTATTGTCTCCTCTGTAGGTGCAATTACTGGTTTTTAAAAAGATGAGATGCCATTTACTTACCTAGGATGTCCTATTTTCTATACAAGAAGGAGGAAGGATTATTATAATGAGGTGATCAAGAAGGTGAAAGCAAGGTTGTATTCCTAGAAAGGAAAGCTACTATCTTATAGTGGTAAGGCAATTCTTATAACTAGTGTTCTTCAAAGTATGCCAACACATATACTATAAGTACTGGATCCCCCTAAAAATGTGTAGGAACACTTGCACAAGACCTTTGCTAGATTTTTTTGGAGTAACAAAGAAGAAGTATGCACTGAACAAAATGTCTTAACTTATGCCTACCAAAAGAGGAAGGTGACCTAGGTTTTAAGTCAATGTTTGATCTATCTAAGGCTCTATTTGCCAAGCTATGGTGGATGTTCAGAACATCAAAGTCATTATGGTCAAACTAGATATGGAACAAGTACTGTAAGAAAGAGATACCTATAGTAGTTCAATTTAGAAAAGGTTCACATCTATGGAGAAAAATGTTAGAGGCAAGGAAAGAGGTGGAACATGAGATATTATGGGAGATCAATAGGGGTTCTATCAATGTATGACATGAAAATTGGACAGGATTATGTGCATTGTATCATGTCGTGCCTCCAGAATTTCCTATTAATGAAGAACTAGAGGAAATGGCTAATTTGAGAAATCCGGACAGCTAGAAAGAGCATCTATTGGAGCAATCTTTTCCAGATGATATTGCAGATCACATAAGACAAGAGGTACATTTTGATGGCAGTGATGAATACTGGGATACTCCTAAGTGGATGCCAACAACATCAGGTAGATTTACAGTGGGTAGTGCATGGCAGATTCTAAGGCAAAGAGATCATACAAATGAAGAATACAAGATATTATGGATCAAAGGTCTGCCTTTCAAAATTTCATTTTTCTTATGGAGATTGTGGAAAGGTAAGATCCCTACTGATGACCTTTGGAGGAGATATGGCTATATGGTAGTGTCTAAATATTGGTGTTGCTTGTCACCAAAAGAAGATACATTTCAACACCTATTCCTCACATGTGATACTGCAACAAGGGTGTGGAAAATATTTCTTCAAGCAGCAGGTATAATAGTTATCTTAGTGCAAGTACATCAACTTATACAGACATGCTGGAATACTCAATGTTGTCCAAAGCTTAAGCCACTAATTCAGGCAATACCGGTAGTGATTACATGGGAGCTTTGGAAGAGTAGAAATACAAGGAATAATGGTGGATCAGTATCTTGCAATAGGGTGATTCATGAGGTAAATAGGACATTACACTACATAGCAAAGGTGAGATATCCTTGGCTTCCAAATATCCCATTACTATGGCCGGATATAATTAAATTCTTTGAAGATTATAAACCTTTTGTTATGACCAAGACAGTAGTCTGGCAGTTACCATATGGTGGATGGTTCAAGTGTTACACAGATGGTGCTTCTAGAGGCAATCCGGGATCTAGTTCCTATGACTTTTGTGTGCGTGATTGTAAAGGAGATTTGGTATATGCTGAAGCTAAAACAATTGATAACACAACTAATATTGTGGCTAAATCTAAAGCAATTGGTAAATGATTAGCTCACTGTGTAGAGCAGCAACTTCACCCTCTCATCATTGAGACTGACTCTTTGGTTATAAAAAAGGATCATTGATGGGGAGTGGGATCCACCCTGGTGCATTGGGATAGAAGTAAAGAAGATAAAGGGATTGAAGAATCAATACAATGTGATATTTCAACATGTACTAAGAGAAGGAAATACGGTAGCAGATTATTTAGCTAACCTGGCTTTTTCTGTTGCAGATACAATATCATTTCACTAATTATCTGATTTACCAAGTGCAGGAAGGAGATTAATTAATCTAGATAAAGCTCAAATGCCTAATCTTAGGATTAGAGTAACAAAAGGAAAGGCTCCAGATTAGCGACCATAACATTATTTCACATTATTTCAGCTAGACTAATAGTTGTGTGTGCTGGAAGATCACTCTAGTTTTACATTGCTTCAACTGGAGTGATGGTTCTGTGTGCTGGAAGACAATAGTTTATGTGTGTTGGAACATCACTCCCCAGTGGTATTAGCATGTGATCATGCTCAGCCTGGGGGTGATTTGATAACAGACAGAATTTGGTAGGCAAGCAGGCATTACAAATGCTACAACAAAGGCAAGCAAAAAGAAAGGATACTGATTGATTGCCACAACACTTGATGCAATGCTTGAACACGCTGCTCTCTTGTAAACTTCTGAGTGTTGGTAAAATACCTCCCAGTGGTATTACAGCATACAGAATTGACAAGACAAGTAGGTATAAAAAAGGCTACAACAAAACCTCACAAGCCACCGCTAAGACCTCTAGTCAGTTTTTCTCTCACATCTGAAGACGAGACCACTATGACAATTTAATGATCTTAATCAGTGAATGCTGAAACTTCAAAGCTGGATCAACATACAAAATCCCTCAGTACAGAACAAGATAACATACTTGGTGGAATATCGTGAATGCAACAGTATAATGTTGAGGCCATTTTCCAGTGGTATTAGTATGTTATCATGCTCATTCTGGTGGTGCCTAGCTTCTGGTCATTATATCATATTCTGGATGTGTGGGGTACTTAAGCTAGAATGCAATGGTTATACATATGTTGTGATATGCTGTTGTTCATAGGTACGTTGTAATGGTGTGCTAACATGCCCTGTCTGTAGGTGTTGTTGCATTGTATATTCGTTGTTGTCGATGTAGGAATGGTGCTTATGTACAGGTTCCAACAACAAGCTCTTGGTTCATCCCTTGATCCAGAAGATAGGAGCAATCCTCATGTGTGTTTATGGGACGAATTCAATGATATAAGGGAGAGAGGCAGATCAGTTTCTACACTTTTAATTGCAGGTTGGATGGCTATACTCAGACATAACTTATTTGGTCATTCCCAGAACTTGTTGGTGTTGTATGGAGATTCACAGATGCTTTGTCCTTTGGAATGCAAAACTTGGCGCCCGGTGAGAGCTTTGGAGGTGCTACATAACGGTTTTGCACTTGGCATGTGGATAGACTCACCACATTATGTTGGGATTTGGCTATTCTATCTACTGTAATAACTAGATTTTATATTGTAGCTACCTGTAACTTTGCATATTTTAGATTTGGTTGTTGGACAAATTATAAACGTTTGATTCCTATTTTTGGATTATTATATATAAATATTTTAACCAGAAAAAAAAAACAATAACATAACACGGTCTATTCTAATCCCATATATCTAGTGTCACCAGTACGTGAGCAACTAGAAGTCTACAAGTATGGTTTAAACGAAATACAACTGTTCGAAATGAGATAAACAATAAAGATAGAAATAGATGGGGACTTTATGAACTACGAATGCCAAAAGCTCTACATCAAGTCTCCGTTGTAGATATGATCCAAGGAGAAGCACAACTACATCGTCGGGACCGACACATGTATCTGCACAAGAAGTGCAAAAGTGTAGCATGAGTACAACTGACCCAATGTACTCCGTAAGTGTCAAGCCTAACCCCGGCGAGATAGTGACGAGGCTATGACAAGACACCTACGTAAAATCTTGTATAGGTATGTACATAGAGCAATAAAATAACCAGCAGGATAATTAAAATATTAACTGGGATGGGACATGTAGAAAGGGGAGTACGATAAGAACGACAAGTACAAAATCACTAAATAACCTTTTTCCGAAAACAATAGCAATGTAACCAATTAAATCATCAATCCAGAAATCAAGTAAAGCAATGAAATCAACAATGGCGCGGCATCACCCTTCGTGCTTTTACTCTCGTTCTCACCATGTAATATCATAAATGAATGACACAACATCACCATTCGTGCTTTTACTCTCTTCCTCACATGATATGATAAATGATAATAAGCAATCAAAAGCACAACATCATCCTTCGTGCTTTAATCATCACAACCTCCCAAATAAATGATATTATATGCAAATAAGGCATGACAACACCCTTTGTGCTTTAATCCTCACCAAGCAACAACACTAATCCAAAATAGAAAAACAAGGTGGGAAGCAATTTCACTTCAATCTTAGTGTAGTGATAATTCATCTCAATTTTCAAAATCATAACAACTTCAAAATAATCAAAAGATATGAAGGCAAACAATTAAAGAAGTAGTAATCTAACTACGACATGGAAGCATAGTCATTGAAATAACATAATACAATAAAATAATTTCAACCTGCATGCTTTAACCCCCATGATAATGCATATGTACTCGTCACCTTAATTATACGCTGTCCCCACACATAATTGACGTAGCAAATAGACCAACAAGTCCTAATCCCTCAAGTCAAAGTTAACCAAGACACTTACCTTACTCTGCAACAAAGTCAATCAACCAACCACGATTTTACCTTTTGAACAAGCCTCCAAACCAAGCAAATCTAACAAATTATCGATCAAACAATTCAAAATAAGCTTTAGAAACTACTCACGAGTGAAAAAGATTCAATTTTTAATGAATTTTGGAAAAAGTCAACCCAGGCCCGCTTGGTCCAAATCCGAGATTCAGGATCAAAACCCGATTATCCATTCACCCCCGAGACCAGTTATGTGATTTATTTCGAAATTCGACCTCAATTTGAGGTCTAAATCTCAATTTTAAAAAATCTTCAATTTCTACCCAAATCCCTAATTTCTGTCATGAAAATCCTAGATTTGATGTTGAAAACACATGAAGAGTATTGGTAATTGAAAGAAAATGGATTAAAGTTGCTTACCAATGAATTTGGAAAGAAATATATCTTAAAAAATTGCCTCCAGAGTGTTTAGGGTAGAGAGATGGTGTAAAATGAGCTAAGTCTCGTACCCGGCTGCGGATGTCGCAATTGCGAACTCTTGTTCGCATATGCGACCATCACAAATGCGAGAATCAGGTCACAAATAGGAACTGTGCCCCAACCCGAATTAGTCACAATTGCGATAAAATCATCGCAAATGTGGTATCCCATCCAACTGGAAATGCGATCAAAGGTTCGCATTTGCAAATCTACGTAAGCCCAGTGCTTAGTTGAAATTGCGACCAAGCCATCGCAAAAGTGAAGTTTGGGTAGTCCGTAATTGCGAACATTTCTTCGCAAATGCGAAGACTACCCTGCCCAGTCCCCTATTGCAATTGCGAGCTCAACTTGGCAAAAGCGGAGTTCGCATTTGCGAACAGGTCATCGCTATTGCGAGACCTGCATCCTAGCGCCAGAAATAAAGCACACCAGCAATCCTCACACTATCCAAACTCATCTGAAATGCGTCTAAAACTCACGTGAGCCATTCGGGCTCCAAACTAAACATGCACACAAGTGTACTAATATTATATAAACTCGCTCGCGTGATCAAAACACCAAAATAATATCTAGAACCATGAATCGAACATCAAAACGCATGAAATTCAAAGTGAAACTTAAGAACCTCTAGATCTGAATCCTATCAAACGAACTCCGAATTGCACAAAATTTTGCAGACAAGTTTCAAATAACAAAACAGATTTATTCCAAGTCCCAACACCAAAATCGGAACCCGATAACCATAAAGTCAACCTACGGTCAAACCTAAGAAATTTTCAAATTATAAACTTTCGGCAAAATAAGTCAAATCAATCTAGGGACCTCTAATTTCAATTTCGGGCATACGCCCAAGTCCAAGATCATAATACGAATCTACCAGAATTGTCAAAACACCAATCCGGGGTCGTTTACCTAAAATTTTGACCGTGGTAAACTCTAGCCTCATTTTTAGTTAAAAGTTCCATTTTTATCAAAATTTCATATAAAAGTTTTTCGAAATGCGACACGGACCATGCATAAAGAAACATCAAATGAAGCTACGGGAGGTCTCAGATCATGAAAATAAGGGCTAATGATCAAAACGACCTATCAGGTTGTCAGACTCCATTTGATCTACCTCGTTCCAATACGATGTGTGACACCATTATCGATCTCCCTATTTCCTTAGATTATTGTCCCAAGATACTTGAAGCTTCCTCTCTTAGGAATGACTTGTGTATCAATCCTCACTCTCACATCCGCCTAATATGATGCGTCACTGAACATGCACTCCACGTATTATGTTTTAGTTCTGGTCAACCTGAAACCTTTAGACTCTAGGGTATTTCGCCAAACCTCTAGTCTATCATTAACTCCGTCGTATGTCTCACAATCAATACTATGTCATTTACAAATAATATATACTATGGTACCTTCCCTTGAATATGCTGTGTCAACTCATCCCATCACAAAGACAAATAAAAACGAGCGAAGATGACTTTAGAAAGAAAATGATGAAGATGATTTTAGAAAATTAATAAAAATTGAGTGATTTTGTAATTAGGGAAGTTAATTTTGATGACTTTTGTGGGATAATAATACAAGTGCAATAGCCTTCATCATTTGGTTGGAAATTGAATCTCATAAAATAATATCCTCTTATCAGCCTCCTAAATAGTACTGCATTTGTTTTAATTAATATGAATTTATTTCTTTTTTTTTACTCTTTTCAAAAAGAATAATTCTTTGTAAATTTGGACACATTTTACTTCTTAATAAGAAGCTTTATAATTAAAAATTTTGTAGACACATAAATACTATATATATTTAAAAAAAATCACAAATTTTCTTAGTCAAATAAGTTAACTTGAATTGAAACGAAAACATAATACTTAATGAAAAAGAATTATTTAAGAAAAGAAGACAACAGACGTGTATGACTTGTCTTCCATGGATCGAATAAATATCTCGTGCTAGTCCTACTAATCCTCAGCGAGAGAAAGAAAAAAACAAAAAAAGAAAGAGAAAATGAAAAGACCATTTATCCAAATTGAAGCCCATCCCGTATATTCCGACCTCCCTCAAATTGGTTGCACGACAACGACAAGCACTCGTAATTTAATCCCGAACACAGATACTGGATAAACATAAACTATCCCACTTTTCAATAGATTACCTTCAAAATCTTTGCTGGATATTTTTCTTCGAGCAAAAAGATCCGAAACAGATTAATTTTCATCGCCAAATGCAATCACTTAGTTTTAATCTTACTGCCGGAACCAAAGTGTCATGGCCTGGTCGATTTAATCAGGGAGATGGAAGTAAGCAACAAATTCACATCAGAGGAAATGTGAAGATGTTTAGAATTATGGCGTGTGCGCCTGAGATGAATAGTGGTGCAGAGAGCCAGAGTTCTAGTCCGAGTCCGAGTCCGAGTCCAAGTGAGAGTTCCTTCCTTTCCCGTAGCCAGACCTATGCACTTTTGAAACAGCAAATGGAAGTCGCCACCAAATCTGAGGTCACCACCTTCATATGCATTGCCACTATTTCATTTAATAAATATGTCTGGATTTACCTTTTTGTTAGTTTATGAGGCACCCATCAATAAATGCATGCCATTCATATTTTACATGAGCTTATATCTAATTAATGCTCCATTTATTTTAGAAAGAATGACAAGGATTCGGAGTAGGAGTGTCAAAAATTTGTAATTTAGGTCTCAATTATGTTTTAGGACATCAATTTCTTAATCTTTTTGAAATAAAATTTACTTGATTAGAGTCTGGATAAAAAAGTACCATAAAGTGCAAGTTTTTATAATTACAGATATTTAACATATTCGAAAAAAATGCGATTTAAAAAAAACAGTTTTGATTGCCCAAATAGTAATAGTTTCATATAAAGTGGAGTGGATGAATTATGAACTATTGTCTCATTCTATGGCTTAATCATGATTAATTAATTTGATTTGGTTCAAGTATCATGTGTGAGTAAGTCTTTGACTTCGTAGAATTACTCTCATGCAAAACTCCTCCATGTCACAATCCGGCACGCCCCATGCTTGCTCGATGTATAAGTTCAAATTTTTATTAAATTATAGATTAATGCAAGTTCACGCCAATTATGATAGACAATTTTTTTCCCATAGGTACTCCTCATCATTAGCCTTAAATGCTAGAATTCTTCGTTTGCACTTTTTTTGTGGATTCGGAATTCCACTCAAATGCGTTAATTTTGTAATTGCCAGCTTAAACATGATTACATTGCTATAAAAATCGGGTTACTGGTATCTTGGTGAAAGATTTAGAATTTCAAGAAGAATAGAGGAGAAATTTAAAGCTTTTATCCGCTATGTTGGTAGATGCAAATGAATGCTGTTTCGTTCACATGCTGAATTGGATTATATATATGTAGGACTACAAGCAGGCAGCGAGACTTCGTGATTCATTGAAAATATTTGAGGATGAAGAGCCTGTTTTGCGGCTTAGGAGATTGTTGAAAGAGGCTATTGCAGAAGAGAGGTTTGAGGTACCTGTTCCTTTCTCCAAACAAGTGCTATCAACTGGAGGACCGGAAAATGTTTGGGTTCATTCCATATGCTTAGACAAAATCATTAACAAACAAATTGAGAGTTAAGGGATATGAAGCTGAATTATCTAACTCTACCTTGTGAAAGCCACAAAATTTGGCCTGCTTTTGGATTTATATCTGAAAATTGCAATTCTGAACATACTCATCAAGTGAATTTGCTTATGTATCTTGGATCTTGTTATAGAGTAAATTACACTTTTGATACGTAATTTATAGAAGTCCTGCTATTTTTGTTTTGGATGGTGCACATTATACCCTAATTTTAAAGTAACGTGCAGAAATGGGATTGTTAAAACAAAAGACAATTTTCAAGTATTGTCTTAAATTTGTATGCATACTGAAGGTAAGGGGTAGAATTTTAAGCCAAATGAATGGTTTTTACTCCTTCCAAAATTGAATTATAAATAAAAGTGTGTTTTGAGCGCTAAAAAGGTCGTAAGAAAATAAAACCAGTAAGATGAGGTCCCCTTTTACATCTTTTCCAAAGTCAGAGATTTCTGCAAGTTCAGAATGGATGAAAAAAAACACACGACTTCTAAGGTATTAAAAGGCGCAATCTGTTTATATAGTACACTAGTGTGCTATATTATTGCACAACTTTGACTCTACATGTCAAATCCATATTTTATTTTCTGCATTTATTTAAGTACATGCCATTATTGGAGATGCATTACAACGCATGATAGCATCCTGAAACCTAGCAATTGTTGCTTTTGAAAACTCCAGGAAATAGATGTGCTGATTTAAAATTGTATAAACTTTCTCATCTCTCTGGTAGTGCTCTATCAGCTATCTCATCGATTATTTGAAGTCACTCTTCATCTAGGTTTACCCTTTCTCGCCCTCTTTCTCTATGTCTTCCCAGGATGCAGCGAGGTACCGTGATGAGTTAAAGGATGTCGCTCCGCATTCTCTCTTGAAATGTTCGAGTGACGCAACCACACTGGTATGAAATATCCTATTTTTATTCAGGAATTGTCATGCTTCTGTTTGACTTTCTTTTACTAGCTGGATTACCAGATTGTGTTGCTCATGAAGCTTATGAATAATGAATTTTGACATAAGTGGCTTTGTATGCACTATACTTTAAGGACAAAAATGTGGGAAAGAAGTAATGAAATTTTTTGGACTTTCATGCATGCCCTCATTATGTTCCACATCTTTTTATTCATGCACATGGGCTGTCTTTTTACACATCTAACAGTTTCTGGGCCCCTTTTCTTCTAAAAAAACAAAAGAAAGATATGCTATTTTATAATTCAGATGTCATTTATGGCTCTTCCTATTATTATGGGGTCTTAACTAAGAAATGTTAAGTTTTTTCCACATTAAATATGCCTGCACAAACGCCATAAAAGAAGCGTGTCAGGATCTAAATGAGGGCTCCTTTTGTGTGCTGTCAGTTTTTGCATATGATTGATTGATGGTTTGATCTTTCTGATCAGCTCATAATCGCACATTCATGATAAGTATATTGAAGCCTGAACATCTCATAATCAGACTTTGCGTAAGTTTATTGAAGCTGGGCAGTTATGTAATCTCTGAAATATCTACTCAACATTGCTTTGTCTAGGGTATCAGGGTTCAAGTTAGAAGCGTGTATATAGAAGGTCGAAGTCATCCATCAAAAGGCCTTTATTTTTTTGCTTATAGAATAAGAATTACCAACAACTCAGATCGTCCTGTTCAACTTCTGAGAAGGCACTGGATCATCACTGATGCTAACGGAAAAACAGAAAATGTCTGGTGAGTCGCTAAGTTTGCTGTTTGGCACATTTGTGGGAGATAATACTGTTTATGTTTTAACTTGTGCATGTCCTTTCTTTTGTAACTTTATGTTGTCCTCATTATGTATGGTGGTCATTTGATTTTGCTTATTTTTATAAATTTGGACTAAAGACTAAATAATGTTACATCGTTTCTTTCTGATAGGGGAATTGGTGTCATTGGTGAACAACCAGTAATACTTCCCAACACTGGTTTTGAATACTCATCTGCATGCCCATTAGGAACTCCAAGTGGAAGAATGGTAAGAAACTAATTTGTTTCCCTTTCCTTTCCTACATGAAATGCAACCTTCTACTCTCATTTTCATCTTTGCTGTGGCATTTTATACTGAGGTCAATATGTAATTGCACCTGAAGATCATTTTTCTTAAGAGCGCATTTGACCACCTAATGCTCTTTATCAAAAAGTAATGAAGAGTAGTAGTTTTCAGAGGTTTAGATTATGCCCTCAAGTTAGCTGTACGCATATTTGAGACTTGCTGTCTATTATGATAAATGTATAATAGAGTTTTGTCTGTGATAGTATAAATGGAACAAATTGCAACAATTTCAGTTGAACTCAGACTAGCACTTATGCGTGCTTTATCTATACACATCTTATAAAAGAATCTATACGCGCTCACGCACTCTGGGGGCCACCCATTAATAGTAATAGAACTCTATGCAAAGTCTTCCCCCTATATGAGTTAATACCCCTTGATGACTTTCGCTGCCTCAAACATCTGAATGTATTTTTCAGCTGAAATGTAATTTTACTATCAAAATTGCATCATACATCCAGAATGATGAAGACATGACCAAGGCTGATGCTTGACATATACCCGCTCTTTTAGGTCCATCACAAGGAAAATGAAAATCGCGATTTGCTTTATCCTACATACAGACACATCCACACTCATTCTTCTGCTCCTTTCAATCAATTCTAGAGGATGAAGTTAGCGCTGAGAAAACAGGAAGAATACGGAATTTAGAGCATCTCAAATGCTTCTCTTATAAACCTAGCACTTACTAATACGTTCTGTAAAAATATTTGCTAAGTGCTGCATGCTTAAAATTGGTTATTTCACTAATTTCTGATTGTCATCTTAGCTTAAAATAGCTTAGCTTCGCTAATTGTCATAATTCTGTGTATTCCTTTTTCTGGATGAAGATGAATTGATGCACTTGTTTAAATTGCATAGCAGTTTTTGGAACTGGGATGAAAAGATTTCAGTTTTATGGTTATCAGGATTCAATTTGGAACAGCAGATGTTAAAGAGAACTGATTTTTCCGAGGTGCCAAGTAGTTAAAAACTAGGATCTACTCAATTTTGTGTTTTAGTGTCGCCATGTTTTAATAGAGTGATACTCCTAATAGTTTGGAGACCTACTATTAGATCCTTCTTAGTTTCTGATAAATAAAAACTGTAATTAGTGATGGGCTTTGATGGTTGCGAAACTTGCAAGAAGTCTCTCTGTGTCTTATTCTTGATCTGGATTTGCAATCAATAGTCATCAATCGTTCTGGTTTTGAAATTGCCTACCTTCTGGGGTTCCCTCCCTTTATCTCTGTTCCTGCAATTTCTGACATGCATTGCGTCTCTGATGGTTTATTACTACACAGGAGGGTGACTTTGAGATGAAGCATATTGATAAGGTAGGCTCACGGACGTTCAATGTTGCCATTGCTCCTTTCTCTCTATCCAAAGTTGGAGATGGCAGTGACACCTTTTCAGATGGGAGCTGAGAATGTTGTGAAGAAAGTAAGAGGGAGGTTTAGCACGTCATTTGCACAACTTATATATATAGTTTTAGGCAAAGTCTGTGTTGTAATTGCTTGGTAGACAATAAACTCATGATATCTGATTCGTTGGGTGTTAGATCAAATGTTGCCCATAGATGTAACATATTCCTTCGGGTAGCAAATATGGATTTTAGGGATCTCTTGTATTGATGTGGATGTCATTGATTCACATCTTGCAAGCTTGAAAGATCATTTGTAATTTGCAAATGTATATAGGATGTAATTGAACTGTTTATATGTTTTCTTCGGCCTTTTGGCGAGGTATATATGTCCATTAGTTTGAACTTTTTCGGCTGAAAAATTTAGTATTGTCTCTTTTCTTTTTGTGGGTGTAGTTAGCTGTTTTATCTAATGGTCGTGTCTATAACAATTCTTACACATTATTTCCTAAGGATAAATGATTTAGGGCTGGTTACCTGTTCATTTTTCAGCCATTGAAATCTCCCTGACAAATATTGAAGTCATTATTTGTAAATATTAGTTTGGACATGATTTTTTTTTTAAAGTGAAATATCATATAGATTTCAAGTGAACATAATGAGAGAGTGGGTGGAAGGTATATCTCTACATCTCGTTTGATATTTACCTGACGTTTACGTTTCAAAGGAACTCTGGCAAAAAGGAGCTTTGCTTAGTAGCTGCTTCAAGGAAAACGTCATTGCCTATAGATAGATAGCTTAATAGATATATGTAAAAGAATACGTTTCGAAATTAAGAAACATTTAATAGTTACATTTTTTTTTTATAACCGTCATATTTGGGCACATCTCAACTATTTCCATGAGGTAACTGCTACATTTTGAAATTAGGAACATTCAAGAGCTTCTTTTTTTGTTTTTATTTATAAACATAGGGTTTGGGCCAACTTGCGCACATCTTGACTAATTTCACGAGGTATCTGCTATCTTCCACCAGGCATTAAGTTCCATTTTTTCAGAAGCAGCTACATCAACTATATAAAGAGTCCACTCAAAGTTATAGCGAGAATCCTTGTTCAATAGTAATTAGTAGGAGTGACAAGTTTCCGAGTTACTAATATAGAAAGTTAATATTTGTTTATTTATTTTGTCGATCAAATTTATGTTTATGTTTGGCCTAGTAAAGGAAACTTTTCCTTCTACAAAAGAAACTATATGGTAGCTTAAATTATTTTCCTAAAATTTAGCACTCTTTTCTTCGGAGACAAGGTTTTTTTTCCCCTTACTAGTTTTAGTATACGCGCTTGTATTAATGGGCATAAACTTTTAAAAAACCGCGTTAATAGTATTGAAAATATGTGTTTGAGTTATAAAAAAAATTTAAGAAAAAAAATCATAAGTTCATGGAAATGATAAGATATTAAATTATTGATCATGGTTAGTTAACTCACCAAAGGAAGAAACCATGTCTTACAGAATTATCCAAAGTTTATGGATTGTAAATATTAATGAAAATGTGAAAAAGTAAATCAAACTAAATATACATTGACTTCAACCAATAACGCATAAGTAGTCCCTGATTTAACTGTGAGCATAGTAAAATTCACATGGAATATAATCAATTATCATAAATTGTGTACTTAAAAATATTAAATTTATGAAATATATTAATTATTACAAATGGTGTACTTAAAATAATAATAAATGGCATATGCATATTTTTGAAAATTTTGTTTGGAGTTATAACATAAAATTTACTAACATGCACAAAAGCTATAACTGGACTTTCGAATTTAAAGTATAATTGATGATTGATGATGTTATTTTAGTGACTTAATACTTGAAATCTAATGATTTGGTCAATGTGCAACAACAATAATAAAATAAAGTTAGTTTGATATGATTTTAATTAAATTACTGTTAAGTTGTACCAAATATAAACGTCTTGATTTGCTATTAATTTTTAGATAACCGAAAAGCACATAGAAATTGATACCTTTTGGGCTTTTGACCACATGAATAAAATAGAAAAGAAGTTAAACTTTTAATTAGAAAAAAGTGCTGGAACGAGAAGGGCAAAAAGAAAAGAAAAGGGGATGATGAAGAATCTAAAATCTCATAGCCATTTATTTAGAGTTTAATTGAGAAAAAAGGGGACAAAATCAAATTTATAATAGTCACGACCCAAAACCAAATTGCCGCAAAAAAAAAAAAGAAGAAGAAGAAGCGAAAACCAAGACTCATAACCAATTAAGTTTGTTTTGAAAGAAAACACCACAAAATATAGTCTACAAGAATTATAGTTATTTTTATATTAGGTAAAACTTTAATTGATTTTGAAGTTCTCAATATTAGGATTTCCACCTAGTCTAAATAAGGAAAGACATAATAAAAAAATTAGTTGATTTCAAAATCCTAACATTAGAAAAATAAATTAATTATAATTTTATCTAATGTTAAATCTATTTTTGAAGGGTAAAAAAGGCGAAAGATATTTCGTTATAGAATATCATGCGTTTAACATAGTATAGATAAACTAGTATTAGTACGAGGGTAATGCACGGAAATTATTAAATAATGTTAATCATATCAAAGTATGATTTGATTTGTTCGAGCAAGTTAGATCATGTGTTTTAACAAAATCATAATTGTCATCTTATCTTAATGCAAGTACCCAATAATAAAAATTCTACGTAATTAAATGAAATGAATCATATAATCATCGAATAACGTTTGGATTAAATTCGAATATCATAATTATATAGTTTGTGTTACAAACAATCTGAATATAACTTGATTCAGAATAGAGCTCAAAACTTCTTTATTTACGTACTATTTTTCTAACTTTACTTGTTATTTGTTCATCAATTCTTTCCTACTTGTAACTCGTAATGAAGATCATAAAGTAATTCATTTGTAAACATATGTTTATTTAGAAATAGTCTATATGAGATAATGATTCGTCTTAACTTTTAATAATAACAAAAGAATAATTCGATATAAATAATTTCTATTGTTCAAGGTTGAGGGGAGAGTTTGATTTTTAAAAGCAAAGTTAAAGGTATTCACCTAAAAATACTTATTAAAAATGAAATAAAATTAAGGGAAAAATTCACAACTGCATATTGGACCCAGACTTTTTATTCAATAATACCTATTTACAATAATACCCATTAAATAATTACTCTTTATATCTATTTTAATCCCCAACTTTCACTTCTCAATATCATGCCATCTGATGCCTTTTCTTTTTCTTTTTTATTTGACAAGAGTGGGTTGCTCTAGTGGTGAGCACAAGTTGGGGAGTTCTTGGATGGAGGGAGCCGAAGGTCTATCGGAAACAGCCTCTCTACCCCAGGGTAGGGACAAAGTCTGCGTACACACTACCCTCCCCAGACCCCACTGGTGGGATTATACTGGGTTTTTGTTTTTCTTTTTTATTTCTTTTTCTTTGCATCCTTTTTTTTCCTTTTCTTATTTCATTCATTTTTTTCTTTATAATTATTTTTCCTCCATTATTTTGTTCCATTCATTTTTATTTTTTGTTCTTTTTCTGATACAGCAAAATTTCGTTTGCTTTGTAATTTTTTTCTCTATATAACTGATAGACTATACCTTTTTATTTCCTCTCCTTTTTTTTTGTACAAATTAAAATAGCTTATACAATATTCATTTTTATTTTTTTTGTTTAAAAAAAATGTGAATCACTACAAATGTTTCTAACATATAGTATACCAAGATGATACATAACAAGATGGTATATCAGTATAATAATATTAGTTTAAAATATTTCTTATAATAATATACTGAAACGATATATAAATATACCATAGGTATATTACTATTTTATTTGTATTCCTACACTTGCTTCTATTGCAGTGAATAATACCTCTATGAAACTCAATTAAATTAAAACCGAATTTAGTTGGAAATTTTAAAGAACTACAAAAAAAAAAAAGTAACAATATACTGTTATATTATATTGTATACAATCAGAACGTGGTATACAATATATAATTCTTTTTTCTTGATAGTGCAACATAATTTTGACCCAAATTTCAAAAATCAGCCCAAAAATATCACACTCAATTGACTAAAAAAGTAGCCACGGCCTCCAATCAATATTTTAAGCACATTAACAGTTAGAATCAGATCAAAACTATTGCAAACTAAACAAAATCAGTTTATGAGTTTCAAGATTCTTTAATGATGGATCTGATTTTTCTTACAACAAATATGCGAGCATCGGCATTAGCACCACAATCTACACATAAAAGAATGACACCAGAATATACTTCATTACTTCAAACACACACACATTAATAAAAAAGTAGAATTCAAATACATGGAGTTTTAATTTTCTTCAGATTTGAAATAGCATCCATTAATTTGAAGTGATTCTTTGCTGAATAATCGACGGAGACTTGACGGAAACTTTCTCTTGCTTAGGTTCCTCGCCAATGAACATATTTATGGAAGATTGAAGTGATATGGGGAAGAAAAAGGAATAGTGAGAACAAATATGAAGTGTAACATGCACTTTGGGTGGATCAGTAAATTTTTGAGCGAAATAGGTGTAAATTGAAATAAGATAAAAATGAGTAAGAAATGGGCAAATATTTAGGTTCTCATAGGTAATTTGTGTAAATTTTTCTATTTTTGTGAGTAAATATGACTAAAATAGAAAACTAATCACCCATTTTGGCCCAATCTTCAATTTAATTACCCCGGACCCAATTGCCGAATTATTGTAAAAAAAAAAAAATTCCTCTCTATTATAGTGAACCGCGAGATAGTTGATCAAATGACAATAGAAGGCCTTTGATAATTTTGAGCTTTTGACTTTCCTTAGTCCACTGGCACTGATTGTATGAACTAAATGGTGATACGCAAATATTTTGGAAATTGCTTTAGAGTTTAGATAAAGCTCTATGTCATTGCATGTTCCACATTTATGTGCCATATTAAAACATCCAAAATAGAATATTGTAACTTCCTAATATTTTGATAGGATATTTGACAGTCAAAGGGTAGTATCTATTATCTTATGGTTCTCAACCCACAGTAAAGGTAATCTTCTCACCATGACACACAGGGGCGTATGTAGCCCTATAACATCGGGTTCAATTGAACTCATAGAGTTTAAATTCTGGATCCGCCTCTAATGACACAAGTTTATTTGCCATAACAAATCAACAACCAGGTATATGATATGCATTAGGAGCACTATTAGCATTTTCACTTCTTTTTTATGTCCTTTTCATTGTAGCTTTGTCATTTCTAAATCATAAGTTATATGTGATTTAAATTATGCTTTTACGTGTAAAAATATAATTTCTCCATTCCCCTTATCTTATAAGTAGTACGT